CCTCCTTCTCCTTCTCCTCCTTCTCCTTCTCCTCCTTCTCCTTCTCCTCCTCCTCCTTCTCCTCCTCCTCCTTCTTTTGCCACCCTCCAACATCAGTTTAGCCAAGTTTGAGATTTTGGAGTTAGATGGAAGCACCAGAATAGCTTTCAAAAGTAAGTAAGTTCTCAACCCTTGGGTTTTCTCAGAACTAAGTATAATGACACACACACACACACACACACACACACACACACACAGAGACACTTTCAAAGAAATCACTTGGCTGTTCTTGGAAAGTGAATCATACAGTTTTAAGGGGGAAAAAATCATAGCCCTTCTGTAGTGCACAAGGCCCTATTTTGGGGTGCTCTTTGAAGACTGGTTGGGTTGGGAACAGAGGATGCCCCGTTGTCAACAAAGTTAAGATGGCGGCTGCAGCTGTGCTATCAAATCGCCATCTTGACTGTGGTCCCTCTCCCTTCCCCGTGGATGCCTATGATCTGAGCATCTTTGCCAGAAGAGCAGTGAACGGACTCTTTAAAAAGCCGATGCAGTTAGCCTGTGTGAAGCAACTTACATTTGTTTCGTAAAAGCAATTTGTGTTGTGCGGTTGCTTTGCCAACGCGGTAATTCATTTCATCTCTGTGACCGAGCAGGCAAGCTACTTCCCCACATTCACCGAGTTCATCTGTATAAGCAATTGCCAGTGTCCACGTTTCAGTCAACTGACTCTAAGGTTGTGCTTTGTCACATACAGAGATGCCTCCATGAACCTCTCCCCTCTTAGAAAGGGAGAAGCCTTCCTTTGGTGAACCTCGTGGTTTCTTTGTTTTGCTCTGTGTTGTTTCTGGTTTTTTGGTTTTTGCAGAGACCGCAGGGAGAAATCGCGTGAAAGAGGAACAAGGGTATTCTGGAGTGGAGGGAAGAGAGAACCTTCTTTTGCTCCAGATTTCCAGAGAAACAAAAAAACCAAATCTTAGTAAAATTGAATCAGTAAGGAACTTTTTTGTAAGTCTACCCCCAAAATCAGGTAGAGCCTAGTAGCACCTTTTCAGACTGAGTAATTTTATTCCGAGGCATACGTCACATGAAGTCACGGGGTTGCTTCATTTCGTGCTTAGAAGCAGCGCACAAGGTGACTTCAAGGGGTGGGGTGGGATGCACTATGATGGGAGCTTCCTTGAAGCAAAGCACCCCTTTGAAGCTTCATATAGTTGCACGACAGCTATGTAGAGCCTTCGGGGGCCTTCAGACTTCAGTTCCCAGAATCCTCCCAGCCATTTTGCAGAGAGAATCCTGGGAAATCCCAATATACCTGGTGGTACCACCTTGGGGAAGACTGCCCTGTATCAAGGGCTTGAAGACAGCAAGCAAAGCTGATTTTTCAGAGGAAACCCATGCTCTACACTTTTTATGATCTCTTTACGTTCTGTTCTTAGAAGATCCCTAATCATCATTATATTGTCCAACATGAACTTTGTGCCTGCTGAATACTGATCTATCAGTAAAAGGGGTGGAGAGGTTGAAATATATAGCTATGGTTATATATTTGTGTAGTTACAAGCTGCCACTGTTCTCACACAATATGAAATCATTCTGCCACATTATTAATCTGAGAGTAAGAAAATTGTTCTCCAAAACAGATTCCCATGCATGCACACCCTTAAAAATATTGCAATTAAAAGTATTTTGGAGTATGTTCAATCTTCAAAGCCCATTTAAGACATCCAGGTTGAGTCCCTACATACCTGCCCAGGGACGTTGTTCCTGAGAAACTCAGCCTCCTGCAATCATCCTGCCTCCATTCATCCATGTAGTTTTACCGGGGCATCAAATAGCACATCTTTCATTTATAGCCATCCGTTTTTTCCCCACCTCTGCTTCTCTCTTTTCTCTTTGATTATGGAGGCAAAGACAAAACAATAGCATAGCATTTTTTAGCATGGAAACACAAACGGTTGTTAAGTCCTGAGTTCCCTTCTTTGGAAGAAATTGTGGATTATTCCCCCTCCCCCCCCCCTTTTAAAAGAGATTCCTGCTCTGCCAGGCAAACTCCAACCAGCCTTAGTCTTTTGCTCTCTCTTGCTGGCAGACAAAAAACTTCTCAAGGAACAGAGGATTTTTATACCCAGCTAGATGGTGGTTTAGACTCAGGGAGGTTCACCATCACTTGATTTTGAAGGGAAGTGAACTGGCGACATCAGCATAAACTTGGGTAATAAATTTATCTGTAAATCCTTTGGGACAAGGATGTTTTGATCTGTGCACCCTCCCTGCAAGCTGATGGGAAAATATAGGTAAGAACAAGGTGGTTTGCTGCTGCTGGGCCTTGGGGAAAGAAAAGCTTGGGCAAAATGCCAGTGAACATAACCAACGTCACAGCCTCACCCATGTACTTTGCCCCAGAAGGAAGGTCTGTCACTTTCAAGCCTAGGGAGGGGGGTGGATATGATGGAGAAGAACCCTAAACTACAGGTTAAAAGGGACAGGTTAAAAAAAAAAAGGCTGACAAACTTTTGACTTTTTTTTTTTTTTAATAGACATGGCTTGGGTTTAATCCCCAGCATTGCACACACGTTTGCTTTCGGTCTGGCGGAATAGCTGCAGTTCCTTACTCATGAGTAGCAAGCAGCCACACACAAGACAGAGAGCCGGCATGTGTGAATGCATACCTGCTCTCCATTGGAGAAAGAGTCCAATCCAAACCAGCACGGGCTTGGAGGCATAAATCTCATCTGCCACCACCCAAACTTCCAGCAGGTGAACAGCTGCCAGGAGTGTCTCCAAGATGTGGTCAAAAAAGTCAAGATCAAACCTTTGTTTTGTATGCGCATCGCCATTTTCACTTTTTGGACCATACCTCATAGACAGCCCTGTCAGCTTCTTTGGGTCGGAGTCAGGCTTCAGGATGCAAGCAGGGATCAAGGTCACGGGAGCGTGGTTGCTCCCCAAAAGAGGCCAGTTGCTGCTGGTTGCAGGCGTGGCTTGAATTAGCCTACCAAAATGTTTCCTTGCTCTTCAGAGTTCCCAACAGGTCCTTGGGCTGCCTGATCTTCTGGAATCAGGGTCCTTGTCAGCTGACTTCTCTGCACCAGATCCAGCTGATTGCTGGTTGAACCCGTCTCGGGGGTTGACATTTACGGAGCCACACCCTTCAGCCCGTGTCTCCTCCAAGTCAAAGGACACCGCGGCCCCACCGTTGGAGAGAGTCGTGGTGGTGCAGGAGTTCAGACTATCTGACTAGGAGCCAACCAACCCCAGCCTGAACAAGGAATATTCTTGTAACCATCCAACCGACCTCATATGAATCAAAATCGATATGCTACAGAACCTTGGAATAATATTGGCCTAAACATAAAATGTATGGTAGAAGTCAAAATGAGGGGAAAATAATAGGGAAAACAGACATTCAGTTCTAGTATTTCGAGCAGGTCCTTCCAGTTATCCCTTGGCCCACCCCAAGGAAAAGAAGCTGGAATTGTATAGTTTTCAGAGTATGTTCCCACAGTTGGTTTTGACCTACAAGTCTATGCAGCTTGGCCTGAAGAGACCTCAAGGAATATCTATCCTCTCTCTGAGATAGGCACATTCAGGAAACAGGAGTTGCTAGGAGTTCTACAATCTAGTTAATTATTACAACAAAATACATATATTACCTATTGTTCCCTATTTCTCCGTAAAAATACAAAGAAAATATGGAGACCCATATGGAATATAGTTTTTAATGCTATTATTTTTATGGAGGGAGGGGACCACAAAGTGCCTGGGGTCCAAAAAAGTCATTGTGCGGCCCTGCCAGCATGGATACAGTTGAGACGACCATCCTTGTAAGCTGAGAGGATGACAGCAACACGTTGACGTTGGCTGGGGTAGGAAAAGATAGCAGGATCAGATCGGGTTAGCTGGATGGGATGGGAGACCGCTACAAAACCCCAGGGCTATAGGTGAGACCAGGAAGTTAAAGAAAAATGTCCAGAAGGCGCACCACTTCTGTGTTGCTGCTGAGAAGACCTCCTGGAGGTGTCCATGAAGTCAACAGGAATCAAGCTTGACTTTTAAAAAATGTTTTAAAATCTGCTTGACGTGTACTCCTGCAAAGGTATGGAGCAATCCCAAACGTTGCTCAAGCTGTGTGTGTATGTGTGTGTTCACAATCTTCCTTTTTATATATCTTTCCTGCCATCTAGTGGCCAGTAGGTTGATTTTTGTCCATGCAACGTGTGTGTGTGTGTGTGCGCGCATGTGTGTCTCTATCTGTAAGGGAGTGAAGCCAGGGTTGCTGTGTCTCATCCCATTCCCCTCATTGAGTAAGCCATTCATTGACTCAAGCTTTACCCACAAGCACCCGGGCCCTTTGCTTAGGGAAGCAAAGAGCAGGGAGAGGTGTGTGTGTGTGTGTGTGTGTGTGTGTGTGTGTGTGCGCGCGCATGTGTGTCTCTATCTGTAAGGGAGTGAAGCCAGGGTTGCTGTGTCTCATCCCCTTCCCCTCATTGAGTAAGCCATTCATTGACTCAAGCTTTACCCACAAGCGCCCGGGCCCTTTGCTTAGGGAAGCAAAGAGCAGGGAGAGGTGTGTGTGTGTGTGTGTGTGTGTGTGTGAGGGAGGAAAGGTGATAGCAGAGGCCACATCTGGAGAGTGGCAGCCATTGCCAGCAGGCAAGAGGACCATCGCTCAACCATCAGGACCACAAGCTATGGGGAGCAGCCCATCCTGGTGGGAGCCCTGCCTGGAGCTCGGAGCTTTGCTAGGAGCTCAGGAGCAACTGGAAGAGGAACCACCACGCTGAAGCCACACCTCATC